TGCCTGCTCTCTCTTGGTGCCCCCGTTTGGCCTGATTATGGCTTAAGCACCGCTGAAGGAGCAGAATTTGTGTAAAACCACAGAGAGCCGTTTCTGATGTGATCAGCCGGGAATCAGAGCCCCCTTCTCCTCTTCTCTGTCCACAGCTCCACGTAATCCCATTGAGGAACAGAAAGAAGCAGCTAGAGGCCTGGGAAAACTGAGAGAGTCCAGGGGAGGGGCGGTGGGGGTCACCGGGCTCATCGTCTCAATTAGCACAGGGCACCTTAACGGCTGGATGCTTGCCAGCGCTGACTGTGCTTCTTAAGACTCTCTGCAGGGTCCGAATTGAAGGCTTTTCTGAAAGGAAACTGTAACATCTTCACTTGTCTCTTGACCGGTCGATCTCATCTGCTCTCGTGAGCTTTGCATTTCAGCACATTACACAATTTGTCTTGGCGACACAAACACAGTGGGCAATTTTGGTCTATCCACACGGGTCTCTTCAATGTGCCTTTGTTGGGCTGTGTTCATCTGAAACAACTCATCAGCAACTGTTTTGATAACTCGCTCAAGAGAAAAGACCACTCTTTGCTGGGTTTAGTGTTTAGAGCGTGCACATTTCAAGCTATTAACTTTGCTCAAAGCTCAAAATGTTGGGAGAATCAATATTAGGGTTTCAGTGAATAATTAATTGCAACTAAATCCTAATTTTAAGAATGAATTAGTCAATTTGAGTCTGATCTGAGTTTCTTGATGTTGAAGCTGATGTCTCGAAGTCGCTTTCTTGGCCTCAAGAACAGATCAAAGGCCAAAGCATTATTATAATTATTATAATAATTATTATTAGTATTATTATTAGTAGTAGTAGTAGTAGTATATTGAACTCACTTTTTTGAGGATTATTAGTGGCAATGATGACCCTTCTTTGCACCAGTGAGGCCTGTTTTATACTAGCTGTTTTATATTGTCTGGTGTACCTAATTAATTGGCTACTGAGTTTCTCCCCACCAAAAAATTTAAATGCAGTTCGTCATATGACTCCCATGAGTTCTTCTTCGCCTTCAGATTGTAATGCAGCTTTGAGGAGGTGTGAAAGTTCTCATGCAATTCAACGACCTGCAGCCTCAATGGAGAGCGCACTCACGCTTTAACCAACATGCGTTTTAGAGCAAGCGATCGTAAAGGGGGGGAATCCCTCTTTGCATTTTATTTGCAGAGGTAAGGGCCACTCTACTCCATCTAATAGTCATTAGCTTTCATTACAAGCGTTTGAAGTAGAGGCAGGGCTTTGTCTCGACGTGAAAGGCTCGCATTTGAGATGCACAATGACTTCTGACACGGGCACGGACAAGAGGGGCTCATGCTCGGAGAACAAACTGCTTCTTTTCTTTGCCAGGAAACAGCAGTTCCTGTTAACGTTGTATACAGCGACGGAGGACGCCATTAAACAAGCTGCAGGCTAAAACAGAAAGACCGCCGGATACCGACTGTGCAACTTTTACGTTCGACAGCAAAACCTTTCATCAATTAAGTGTCATATTTTAATTGTATTGTATCTGACGTCCCAAACTGAGATTTCAAACATATAATCTTAACACTAATGCATTTCCCATCCCATTATTTTTTCCCCAGGCCTTGTTCAAAGTGGGATGTTTGTTTATGCTGAGGAGGGGAGCCGGTGGAAGAGCGGGGCCCGTACAGGTGGCCGAACGACCGCACTTCTTATGCAGGTGCCACAAACGCAGAGACGTGCTACTTTTCTCATCTCGTTATAATGGGGTGAAATTTCCCAAGTATTTAAGTGGAAGAGATTAGCTGAACACACAACGCTAATGCGAAACAAAATGGCTAATTAGTTTATTAATGAACGGAGGAAGGGACCGAGGCGGTCTGCGGACTGATTTGATCTCATGGCTTTGATCAGCGTTAGGGGAGAACGAGCAGACAACACACGGCGCTGATCTTTGTCACACAGCCCCAAAAGCTGAATAGCCCAATATTTATTTAGTTATTTCCTTTTAATTCCCAAGTAATTTCCTTAAGTTTCATAAGTTTCATAATAAAAAATATGCATCAGTTAAAACTTAAACTTCTTGTTCTCCAACATACAAGCCCTCGTGAAGCCCCTCGCCAACCTGGAACCGCTGAGGTCACAACTTCCCTTTGATCTCTGCGGATAAACTCAAAATCCTTACAACCTTACGGTTCCTCACCTCAACCGCTAGATGGCAGCATTGACATAAAAGTCGGTGTTTTTCAGGGAGCTGTAAGAGCGTTTCAATCTTCCGCCACTAGAGGACAGCACTAATCTAAACTGCCGTCACTCCTCACAGTTGTTTCCTTTTTTGACTGTGAGGAACTAAACAGTTTAAAATGTATTATTATTATTATTATTATTATTATTATTATTATTATTATTATTATTATTATTATTGTTGTTGTTGTTGTTGTTGCTTTTGTTGTTGCTGTTGTTGTCCACTTCATATCAGTTGATTAACATTTAAAATGATAAGATACAAATTTATTTTAAGTTATGGATAAAAGCAGGCTGTTTAGGGTTTACCGTAAGCGTTTTTTTCCCCCACTCTTCCATCCGGTTATTTCTAGCTCCTGCAGGCTACCTGCATCTTGGAACATCTCCGATCTCTCTTCTGGGTTTTCTTAATTACACAAAATGTGCAATGATTTTTTTTTCTCCGGTCACACTGGACATATTCATACGTGTGTTGGGTGCTTTAAAGAGTTGTCATTTATCTCGTTTTATTTTATTCTTAATGCACTAAATGAGAATTAAGATCTCGAAAAGGTTTCAGATTGTTGCAGCTGCTACATTGAAATGTCACTATAAAAGCTTTAAGGAAACAAATCCATTAAAACAGTCAGTGCACTATTCTTGAAGATCACTTTGGTCAGACTGAGTAATAAGGGGGCCTCGGGGGTGAAATCAGCAACAGGTACGGAACAAGGTTAGAGCGCTTTCCTTTGTTTTTTGTTACAGCAGAGCGATTTGATCATCTATTAACCAGCCGCGATCAGGGTCAGCGCGTAGAGGCCCACAGGGTTTCATCATTAAACTCAAGGCGGCATTTTTAACCCACTCAGCCATCCTTCAAGTTCCTGCTTCTGATGCTCCGTTTGGACTGTTTAGATAGAGAACTGAGCTGCGTGACTGATTCCTGAAACGTTTCCCTGTAAAGGCGGTGTATTCATCGGCGCTGTTTCCTTGTTCCTCTTATCTCTCCTTACATTCTCTACCACTATAGGCTTGTGGAACTTACCGCTGACCTATACGACTAAAATACTTGTGAAGGTTAAATTTAAAGAGTTAAAAAAAACTCCAGGGTTTAATTTTACAGCTATTTCGCGGCAGACCTTTCAATAGACCCTTATAGTTATGCCACAGATGTGGATGATTTCCTGGCAAACTGTATTAGGAATTTATGATCCACCAAGAATGAATGTTAAAATAACTGAATAGCATTTATGCGTCGCCACAATCCGCACCGTGTAATTACTATAACTAAAAGAAATGGAAGTGTTCAAGGAACAGCCCCATATTAAGCTTTTCGAACAATGACCCATTCCCAGAACCGATTGCTGTCTTTAGGAGCCTTTAGCTCTAAAAGCCTAATCAACAGCTTGTTTTACCTCATAATTTCCATCGGTAATGATTTTCTAATGCAACCCCAACGCGAAGGAGCATATTAAGAGGATAATTATTAACTTGGTTAGCGCGCAATGGAAGCTGAGCGCCGAGGGAGCAGCTCTAGTAATGACAAACAGACTTTCTCCTGCTAAACTGTCCTCACAGAGGACAAACTCACAGACGTTTTCTTAAAAATATATATAAAAAAAAACACGAGGCGAATTAATGACGCTGTTATGCGCTTACAATAAAAAGTAATAATAATAATAATAATAATAATAATGATAAATGAGCTTAATTTTTAACATAAAAACGCGAGCACACCATTAAAAAATACAAATACACGTTGTGACCTGAAAGATGCTTCGATCTGATTCGACCAAATTTAAAAACGTTTGCTTGACGAATTTAAATTTTAAACAGAAAAAAAAACTCTAAACTAAAATTAAAAATAACACCTGTAACAAATATTATTTCTCGCTTTTTCTCCTTTTTTTAACCGGAGCTGTTAAGTCGAACGTGCACTTATTATTGCACCGATTGAGAAACCTTTCAAATCCACGGAAAATTTGATTTAAAAAAACAAAACAAAACAATCAGCGGGACACCTCACATTGTAGAGAGAAAGGGTGCTCTGCTGCAGGGAGTCTGACTCACCAGAATCAGCATTCTTCACTGATTCATGTTGTTGTTGTCGGGTTTGTTTGTTTTTTTTTAAAAAAAATATTATGAAGATCACATAAAAACATGAAAGACAGACGTGGAGTTTCGACTGTAGTAATAATAATTAATAATAATAACCTCAATAAAAGAAAAATAAGCGGTATTTGAAGATAAAACTTTGTATTGTCTTATTCTGAGAGGCACATAAATCTCATAATATAAATCTAATTTTGCTCTTGTGTGTGCGTGTGTTTGTAATGAGAGTTGAAAGAGAGCCTAAACGTTAAGTTAAAGGTGAAAGATCCAAAGAGTCTCGATGAGTCAGCTTTAAAAAAAACAAAACTTCTTAACGAGCGTCAGTCAAATACTGACACTATGAGAATTCCTGAACTGGATGAATCTGCTGTGGGACGAGTGGGACCTTCTCACTCCCGCAGGCGGACTAGTTTTTTTCCCCCTCCTGTAGAAAAACTTGACATTAAAGCTGAACGCGACATGCAATGACCCATTAATTGGAGCATGCTAGTTTTTCTCAGCGTGCCCCTGTAACTAAGCTGCCCGGTCTTGTGTGATCTACAAAGCAGGTACTTGAGGAGACCTATTGGCAGGTGCTCTGGTCCAATCAGCTCCCTCTTTCCGCGCAACGTCAAGCCACATGGAAGGTTTCGGGCGCTTTTCTTGGTGCGCATTTGCGCGCAGAAACCCTCCGAGCGCGCACGGGCTCGGTGAATCAGGACAATTTGCAGCACTGTTGAGTTTTCTAGCAGCATCTTAGAGCTCGTGTAGACAAACCCTTCACCCACCCTCCCCCTAACACCCCCACCATCTTTGGCCATGATGCTTCTCTGAGAGTGGGCTTCTTTTTTTCCCTTTACAGCAAGAGGAAGGAAAATAATAAAGACTGATCGCGTTCTTTTTGGTTTCCCTTTCTACCGAGAGATGATGTTTTCGTCTGCAGGCAAGCGCTGCTTCACGATAGAGTCTCTGGTCGCTAAAGAGAACCCTCTAACGGCGGAGGATCCCATCCGCCCGACGGCTTTAAGTTACTCCAACCCGACGACAGATGCCTTAATGAACAGTTACCAGGCTCCACCACCGGCCAGGTCCCTCTACCAGAGCCCGGACCTGGTGTTCCCGGAGACGATGAACCACCCCTCACTAACCGTGGCTCCTCACCAGCTCGGAGGATCCCACCTACAGCATCCGCACTTCTTTGGGACGCAACACCGAGACCCGCTCAACTTTTACCCCTGGGTGTTACGGAACAGATTTTTTGGACACAGATTTCAAGGTACGCGAAAAATGCGAATGCAAAACATAATAATATAATAATAATACTAATAAAAGTTTTTTAAATTATTACTTCGCTTAAAGACTTGCAGATGTGTGCGTATTTTGAGGTCCACTGTTGGGCTATAAAGGCCAGAATTCTTAGTCTAGAATTAAACAATGCGTTATTCTGTGCGTAAAATGGTGAATAAAGTAGGTGGAGGTGATTAAACTAATAAAATAAGTGTGTGCATAACACGTGGTTTCCACAGTAAATATCTTTGTGTGGGATTTCTTTCAACAATATGACTGTAGATTTCAAAAGCATTTTTAGTCGAACAATAAACTGTAGCTGCAGATATCACAATCCACAAGACCACTGACAGCTTGCAGCAGGCTTGTTGGGCTCCTCTCATGTTTCCCACTCTCGTTTGCCCTGCAGCTACTCTCGGAAAACCACAGGAGGAAAAGATAAGCAGCCGTGTTGTGTTTTTTCCCCACATAAAATAAAATTCGCCTTAGGTGAGGCTACAGTTTTTTTCATTTAATTAAAAAATCTTGCACAAAAGCCAGTCCACAGAGGCAAAATAGATCAAATCTACCATAATAATTTCACCGTGAGGGGAGGGATGCGGAATAAAAATCTGATGCAGAGAGGCTTTGAACACAGCTAGTGGTGACAAACCTCAGCCACACCTACCCTCCAATAACTATACAGCACTAAGACCTGTTATTAGTAAGACATGAAAAACAATCTACATCTTTTTATTCATTCAATCATTTTTAACTACGTAATTGTCTGGACAGAAAATGTCATTTTGGGGGGGAAAGCAATGTTGCAAACGCATAAAGGGCCCCTTGATTTAAAAGCAAAACAAAAACAACTAAATAAATCAAATATCTGTATCATAATTATACCATAGGCTAATTAATACATACATTAGCCTTATTGGATGTAATTGGGTAATATGGGGAATTTAACAGAATTTGTAAATGTAAAAAAAAACCCCAACAAACAAAAACCCAAACATTTATTTTAAATAAAACAGTTTGCACCAAAAAATAACTCTGAGAAATATTGACCATAAAAAAATTCTCAAAAATATTTTCAGTCTCACCTCTTATACCCTAAAAAATGCAAAATAGATCAGACTAAAGACAATAACTTTTAAAGACGCATTTAATATATTTAGCTGTAGTCACATAAATATTTTTTATATATTACGATGTGTTATGATGTGCTATTTTATGACTATTCCGAATGTGTAGCCATGTACTTTCTTATTTAACTATAAATGTCTGATCCTGAATTTTGTCACGATTTATTTATTTTTAAAATGTGCGTAAAGTCATTCAGCCTAAAACTGCGTTATAGGGCAAAACTGTCTTTAACGAGTTTACCAGAAAATGAATTTATTGTGTTTTTTATCAGGTTGGACAGTTTACAATGCCACGTTCAAACGGGCCTAATAAAGAGCACGATTGTGCAAAACAGCATTTTGTTATCGTACTTTTGTATTAATACGCTTCTTTTTTTTCCAAATGTCAATTCTATTTTATTAACAAAAACAGTAATAAGTGAACCATTATAACTTGTTTTGTTTTTTTCTCGGGAAAATAAAATAAGAATGAACTTTTTCCATGACTGACGTTACCGTTTCGTTGACTTCGCTGTCAGGTAACGACGTGTCCCAGGACAGCCTGCTCCTCCACGGCCCTTTCGCGAGAAAACCCAAACGCATCCGGACGGCCTTCTCTCCCTCCCAGCTCCTCCGGCTGGAAAGAGCCTTCGAGAAGAACCACTATGTGGTCGGAGCCGAGAGGAAACAACTGGCCAACAGCCTGAGTTTATCTGAAACGCAGGTAGGTTAAGCTAACGCTTGCTTGTTTAAATTAATTGCTAACGTCGCTTAATTTTGTCGTCAATACTGCTAATAAACTATTACTAGCATTTGGCTAGTTCTGGATACTTCTATAACGTTATCCACACATAGCTACAGCTAAAATAGCCCCAATATTTTAAAGCCCAAGCAACGACATTAAAACGGACAGCAACAAAATAATAATAAAAAAAATAATTTATAAAAATAATTTATATTTATTTTCTTACGTAGCCAACAATTTTTTATATGTTATATTATAGGTTTTTACTCGTCTGTTTAGTTGTTAGAATACGTTTATTTGAATGAATGCACTGTATTTCAGAAAACTAGATTCAATTGTAATAGTTTATGGCAATTTTATTTGTATAGCACATTTTATGTGTAAACTCAATGTGTTTAACATGAAAGATAAAAACATAAAAACCCATGTAGGTCTACTGTGCCTTCAGGCAGTAAAAATAACAAAACAATCTTTACAAAGATATAAAACACAACACACACGTACAAGGTAACACACACTGTTATTAAGTGCAGAGCTGCGAGAATGATAAAGTTTGAAGTTTGTCTTTGATTGTGGACAGAGCTCTGACTGACCTCAGGGCAGCTTGTTCCTAAGAACAGGACCCGGGTAGCTGAGAGCATTCTCAGCACACTTTGATCTAATTCTGGGAACAGTTAAAAGATCTGCACCTGATGACCTGAGAGGTTTAATCGACAGGGAGCAAGTCAGAGATTTATTGCGGGGCCAAACCATTTGGAGCTTTCTGAATTAATAGGATTTTAACGATGATTCTGTGCTGAGCTGGGAGACTTCAATATGTTCAAATTTCGGCGTATTTATAAGGACTCTGCTGCATTCTGGACAAGCTGAAGTTTACTGATAGTTTGGATGATCCTTCAAATGGAGCATTACAGCACTCTTGATATGGATGCATCAAGCACTTTGATATAAGTATTTTCAAACTTTTTAAATATATATTTAAGTGGCAGAAAAAAAACAGTTCTTGTGAACCTGTTAACATAATGAAAAACAGAAAATTAAAGTCCAAAATGAAAAAAAGTTCCTGACTTGATCACTATGTTTCAGAGACAGAGATGATAAATATACAAATATTTTCTTCTTGTTATTCTAATTTCAATAATGGATATTCAATAATTGATACGTTAGAAATTTAAATTAACAATAATTAACTGGATTTATCTTACATGACATATCTGTAGGCCTATGCACTTGCATTTTTTTAACATTTACCTGACCCACATTTTGCAAAAAGAGTCTCTCAAAGGGATTTCACTCATGTATGCTCTACCGTAAGCTGTGGTAAATATTATTGATGCTTAAGTTTAATGAGTCCACACTCTGTGGGTGTCAATTAGGCTGCCTAATAGGTAAGATTAAAAGATATTTCCTCAGTCAGCAGTGTGAATATATTCTGCTTGCAAGTTTCTGGTTTGTGTCAGTCAATAAGGCGGCTTGCAATTAAGCAGCAATTGAATTATGCAAATTTTAAAGACTGTCAAACGAATACTAATAAACTCACTTTATTGGATCAGCAAGATTAACCGATAGCATCTACATGGGTGATAGCAAGGCCCATGTCATCAGTTTATCTTAAAGTTAGAAAATTTGGATATGATTAATCAAGTCACTGTGGTCATGAAATAAGCACGAAATACTGTAATATACTATAACGTATATAATGCAGCTCACCCTCCACCCCTTTAGCTAAACAGGTCATTCACAAATTACTGCACTGTACCAAGGATCTTTAAGCGTTTGCTCTGAAAATTTTTTTACCCCAAAGCCGAGCAAAGTAAAGATTAAAGAAAAGTAATGTAAGTGTGAGTGTGTAGTACTCTGACTACATACGGGTTAGTCAGACAGGTTCATATTACAAGGTCACAGCAGCAACCGTCTGGAAGCTTTTAAGCTTGATATTTCACGCATTTTATGCCATCCTTAGTCATTAAGTCTTTATGTGCATTTCTGTTTTCCCTCTCGCTTGCTAAACAGAATAAACTGCGTTGCTTTATTTTATTTCCCTTACTGCATTTCAACAATACAAGTCAGAAACACAGTTTGCCAAAGCACATACTTTGTAGTACCATAAAGAAAGAGAGAAAGGAGCTTCTTAAGGAGTAATTATCGTGCCTTTATTAGATCAACAAAACCACAACATGGCCATCATTTATCTTATTAGCTGCTTGTGCGTTGGGAAACTCAAAATGTGCATCTAAACAGATGTTCGTTAAGTCTTTTCCTTTTTCTCGGGTCACACACTGAGTGCTTTTCTCTATCCAGGTGAAGGTGTGGTTCCAGAACAGGAGGACCAAGTACAAGCGACAGAAGCTGGAGGAGGAGGGACCAGACAGCCAGCAGAAGAAGAAGGGGAACCACCACATCAACAGATGGCGCATCGCCACTAAGCAGACCAGCTCCGAGGACATTGACGTGACCTCAGAGGACTAAATCTGCGGTCCAGCCTCTGACAATGCTGCCCTACCCCTGCGTCTGCTTGTGACGCATCAGAGGACCAATACTATTTATTATGTAATATTATTAAGTATAATTAGACACATTAGAGGAAGACTCGAGGACTTAATATGTGATCACTGCTCATCTCTTCATCAAGGTGCTATACTCTGTGACACTGGGAGGGGTGGGGGGCATCTTATTTAATGAAATCTCTTCTGATTGTCTCTGGATGAGAAGAGATTCTGACATCGTTTGATCATTTTGGTTGTGTGACAGCCAAACATGAAGAGACATGACACCCTCTACCATGGTGTTTTTGTTGTTTTGTTTTTTTAAATTGTACATAGACCAGTGAAGGTTACGTGTTTCATGAAAGCTGTTTTTTTTGGGGGGGGTTTTGGTGTGGGGGGGGTGTTACCACTTGCTTAGGTCATTAACACTTCATCGCTCGCCCTACTCCACCACCTGTGTACCAAGTTAATTTAAATTTCTCCTCACTTACAAGAAGGAGGTGATCCACACTACGAATCCACCCGGTGAGTCGGAGGACGCACTCGGTGCCAGACCAGAAGAACAAAAACTGGGGAGAAACAAACAAACAAAAAGAAAATAACGTAAAGGAGCACGCATCTAAAGAAGATTCAAAGACCCTGCATGATTTTATTCCCACTTTCACGCCTTCAAAGCCGTCTTGGCTCTTTGTTACACTTCCTAATGAAGATTCTTCACAGTAATGTGACTCTTGGCCAGCTGTGCATGACTCTGGGACAGATGAGAAGCTGCAGAGACCTCTGGTGTTCGGGTTAACTTGAGCTGCATAGTACAAGTTCACAGCTTCGTGCTTCTTCTGCCATGGCACATTTGTGATCGTGAATGTGTGCAGATTTCATCCAGCACTGTGTGTAGTACAAAAACGTAATATGACCGGAACACAGTTGTGCGAGCGGAACGTGTAATTACAGAAAGATGTTTTAGAAATAAAAGTAAAAATTATTTCTCTGATGGGATACGCCATTTTTGTGTGTGTGTGTGTGTGTGTAACTCAAGTGTTTTCTTTTTAAACTTCAGATACTGCAAGATTACATTTCATTACAGCCATTGCAGTTGCAGATTTGATTTATTACGTCTTACTTTCAAACTCAAGATGCATGCAAGTGATGGGAATGAAAACCCGGCAATACTGGAGCACAAATGAAGGATTTTACTGTTCTTTTTGCTGTAAGCTGCAGCAAGCTTAGGTGGGTGGTGCAATCCAACATCCCGTTAAGGTGGTTTCTCTTTGAGATTGATGTGTCAGGAATGTTGCCGGACAGCTGCACAGGTGTCAGGTGTGTTAGCCATCAGTCTGTATTTCCTCTGAATTCCAGCAGAAATAGCACAGAAATCATTCCCATCCAGAGGCTGAAACTCCTGGAAAAAAAGGAGGGAAAGTAGTTGGCATTGTGCAGAAGCCTTTTCACCAACTGCCACAGTAATCACCTGTCAAAGGAAACGGAAGGAGCCTCTGCCTAATGACCCCGAGGCTTTAGAGATGAGCCCTGACGGCTGACCCTGATGACTTGTTTTGTAAGCTAAGAGGCACGGAGACGTACGAGTAAAATGCACTGCAGTAGTGCTCACTTTTTTCTTGTTTTTTTTTTTTAACAGCGGTGCACAATTCATCAGACATCTGGAGGTGTAAAGGGGCCATATGTTTTGTTTTGAGTTCCAGGATATCCTATACTCACTGCAGGTGCAAATACATTGTAAGAGACATTGACGGTTTCCAATCATCTAAACAAACACAATCAAATGGGCTTATTTTTAAACAGTACAGTAGCTCACTGACACTAAAAGCTGTCTTGACGGTGAGCGGGTTGCTTAAGCCCAATCACATCTTGATTAGCTATAAGGTCAGCGCAATTAACGCGAGCTGCACCTCTAAGTCGTCTGTTAGGAAAACAATTAAAGGCAAAAATCAAGCTCATCTCCCTAAACGCCCGGTCTCCTGTCGCCTTAGTCAGCAGAGGGGAGAGTTTAGGATGAGAGCAGGAAACCAGCGTGAATAACAAGTGTCTCTCCAGACGTGTAGGGTTAGGAGCTGCTGCTGCTGCTGTTGCTGCAAAGGTGTTAGAAAACTCGACCGAATCACTGTGGGTTTAATCAGGATTTTCTCATTACTTGCTTTCTGGGGGATGATTGCAGCTTTCTGTTTTCTCAGTAAAACGTACAAATTACACTGGCTTTAAAATTCCTCGTTGAGTGATAAATCATGCAGTGCAACGCACACACAGAATTACACGTCTAATTACTGAAAGAATGCTGCTAACTATGCCCTGGTAGCATTTACACGGAGCTCAAAGTATAGCTGAAAAACTGAAATTATAGGGCACAACCCACAGCACCTTTAGAGATGACGCTGAAAAACATTTGCTGGCTGAAAAATATTATTCAACATAGATTTAGTGGATGTAATTAGAAATAAATAAATGCAATATATCACCGTAACCACGCCAAGCAATTTTTATTTTTGTTATTTTATGGCTATTTTATTGTTTTTATTTTAATGTTAAATTAAAAAAAAATAATTTACTGAATTTCAGTTACATATTACAAAGCTAGTAAGCAGCTTCCGGTGATGGGACGCCTTGATCCTGCATTATAAACGTCTCAGCTGTGGGATAAGCTATGGCGGTGGAATCACTCTGCTGGACAAATTATGGCACAATTTCTCAAATCGCATGATTTTAATGAATTGTGGCCTTCTTAAAAAAATAATAATAATAAAAATTAATGACATTTTCTGCAACATGTTTTCCACAGCTTTATGATATGCAAATATCAGCCAACAAATATCAATATCGTTCAAGTTCTGTTAAAAAAATCCCCCAATATCTTTTGATTACCAGTTTATAATCTTCCTCAAAGGTTTCATATACTCACCTACAAGAGACACACAATTGATACCCAACCACACCCCCCCTCTGGATTAATTAGACAGATGCTGATAAATCCACTGTGGATTACAATTTAAATTACTAGCTCAAAAGCTACAACCTGGTGCTTTGTAACATCAGATGACATTACAGTTAACAGGCCAGAACTAAATCCGATGACAATAACTTGGTGAGAGATGTGCGTCGTTATGAATGGGGTTTTGTTTCCATTTATTCATCTCACCCTGGTTGTGTGCCATAACTCACACCCAGCAACCTCCACTGATCCTGCATGTGGCTTCTTGTTGAATTACGCTGGAGTGCAGCCTACTGTGCTGTGTTCCCTCAGCAACCAGGCAAACATACTAATCACACACATCACAGCAAACCATCTTAATACTTTGAGAATGTTTAGATAAATCGAGCATGAATATGTACACAAAGAGAGAGAGCGAGAGAGAAGTCTCTGGTTATAAGACTAATAAAAGAAACTATTTGGAAATAAAATGTCACAATTGTGCATTTATTTATGCTTTTGCAATATTTGCTTAATTATAATGTTCTGGCTTTAACTCTGAACCAAAACTGCAACTTTTTCATTAGAAACTGAGTCACTCTTTCACTGGAGGAATTTAAAGCTGATAGTGGTCACAGGGAAGACTTGGCTCATTGAGATGCAAGGAAACTTAAACAAACACAATCAGGCTGTGTATATATTTGTTGTGCAGACACCAGAGAAACGCAATTCACAGCAAAGCTACTTTAAAAATACATAAATCAGTAGTTGCGAACGTGAGTCACAGCACCCCAAGAGAGCAAAAATAATCATTCAGATTCAAAAAGATTGATCTTGGCTGCTTTCTTATTTCCACGTTGATTGAAATACTTCCAGGTTATAGACATACATCGCCTTGGGTCACAGGAAGGTACTGACTCATATTGAAGGGTCAAAAACAAAAAAAAAAAGGCGGGAAGCATTTGTATCTTCATTTCATTCACAGTTTACACATTTATTTGTCCAGACATTTTAATTTGCCCATCTTTGATCTATGGTTAGCGGTCTGCTCGTTGTGGAAAAAGCCTCAAGGAACCAAGCAAGCTTATGGGTTTTGTTAACCTAATTAATCAGCCTAACTGGGCTGTTACCCTCAAAATGCACTTGTTTGGCTTTGTCTCCTCGTGTTGTGATACATATTTTCTTATCACTGTTGCTGCTGATTCTTCGTATCAGCTGTTGTTGTCCAAACGTGTGCTAAAGCCACTGCAGCAGCAGCCAAATTTGACACAATTAATTCCCTGGCAGCGTCGGGGCGGCTCGAGCCACGACGGGCTGCGCGTCCTTTCTTCACATTTCAGTTTTGGTAGCGATCCCTCAAAGTCCTTTATTGTATGTCACAATCTTACAGTCGGTTGCCATGGCGATCTCTGGCTCCAGCTGATCTACACTGATCTGTGGGAAACCAAAGCAGGACAGAAAAGGTCAGTAGTGCAAATGGAAATATTTCGCACAAATCGTCAGATATAACAGCTTCGATGCAGTATGTGCGTGCTGTATATGCAACCGTATATCACCGACACGAACCGCTGCATAGAGACTGGAAACTGACTGTAATTCTCAAAGGCTTTAAATGTTCTGTATTTACTGCTAATGTGCAAAAAGAGCCAATTTGCCAGATTAAAGTCTAATTTGAGGTTTGCGTCACCTAATATTTGAACCAGAGACAGATGGCTGTTGGAGTTGGAGGCAGAATCCTAATCAGACATCTTGGTAGGTGTGAAATGGGGAAGTGGGACAAATTGAGTAGGCGGGGGGTCCAAGAGAGTGGGGCATTCATGTTGCTTTTTGGGGAGATCTTTTTTTTTTTCCCTTTTTTTTTCATCTGCTATCCTTGTGAAAGTGCAAAAAGGACTTGTGAGAAGAAAAAAAAAAAAACAGGCCCCTCTGTGGAACTGGAGGCAGCTTTTCACAGGACTGTTGGCGGCACATATGTCTGAAGTTTTTTGCCATATGGCTGTCTGAGCTATTTCAAGTGGTAATTAAATCCTAAACATTTTAAAGCCAGAGCTGGTTGGCTTGTGTCAGCAAGTCATTTGGCAGAGAGGAGACAAAGAGAGAGGGAGATGGAGTGGAAAAACATAATTGTGCCATTGCCGTTTAATGAGTAGAATGATACATACTGAGGCAATAAGGCTAAAGTTAGATCTCAGCCCGCTAGTCTGGATGGCATCAGTGGCGATGAATAAAGGCAATGGTGGCTCTGGGCAGATCATAACAGAGCAGGTTGAGTCTCAGAGGGCGGCGCCTCATTAGGACAGCGCTGCTGCACAGCTCAATGGGAAATACTGGAGAGGTCAGGAGACGCTGGTCACCGACATCATCATTCAACCTGAGGCTTTACATTTGCAGCTCTGTGTTTGCAATGAACAAAATCTCAGGACTGAGCATGAGCATCCGAGCATTAGGCAGGAGAACAAAAACTGTGCCACCGCAGAGACTCAAACATTCATAATTTAGACACATATGCTCGAACACACATCCAGCATATCTGCAATTTTAGAAGACCCAATATAAAGCCCTGCTTAAGTCTGTTCTGTTTTATTCAATGTTGAAAAATTACAGCGGGAGAAATGATTATTTGATCTCCTGATGAACTTGTAAGTATGCTCACTTCAAAATAAATGAACTGTCTTTTTTATGGTATTTTCATTTTAATGCAGAGAGAGAATATCAAAGGAAGAAATATAAAATGACCATCAGTCAGTCTCGGTTTGGAGCTCCATGCAAGATCTTGGCTCATAGGATGAGGATGATGATGAGAACGGTGGTGGATCAGCACAAAACTACACCGGAGGAGGTTGTTAATGATCTGAAGGCAGTTGGGACCACGGTCACCAAGAACACCATTGATAACACAGTTCCAAAAATCTTTGAAGGAAGAGAAATGCAGAGTATGACCCAAAGAACATCATCCCCACAGTCAAGGTGGAAACATTATGCTTTGGGGCTATTTTTCTGCGTAGTTTACAAGACGGCTTCCTCAGTACCGTAAAATCTTGCCTGAGAACCTCCTTCTCTCGGCCAGAACGCTAAAATTAAATTGGGTCATGGATGGACCTTCCATCAGACCTCAAAACATACCCCCAAGGCAACAAGCAAGTGACTCTGGTTGATAGTTCGTCTCTCTCAATTAAAATAAAACGACCATAAAGATTAGTCTGTTCACTTCTTTGTGAGCAAACTTACAAATTTAGCAGGGGATCAAATAATTATGACTCCAACTGCATGCTCCTTAAGAGAAAAAGAATTGGGCATGAAGTACCTGCGACATCTGTGGAAACAAACTGATGGCAAGCGGCAGAGCCAGGCTGAAGGCAGCGAGACACACGAGACTGTGGACAGGCAGGACGAGCCTCTTTTGTCTCTGCAGGAGAGGGAGCCTGACGGGAAACAGAGAAGAAGAAACAAGTCAGTTGTCAGCCATACACCCAGACCATGGGCAAAAGCAACAGGTTCTCACACACAACACAGTGCAACATAGCCTGGGCTGCATATATAGTCAACAAACACACATATGCTATGAGTGTATAAGGACCAACCAGCTACACATTTTAAAATAAAGGTGAATAAAAGCAGGATCATCTTGTTATATTTATAATCTTCTGTTGAAAACTTTAGGTTCTGGCCAGGGTCCCAGCAAAATGTGCTTAAGAAAAGAACATGACAAACACCCCAAGACATTGACGGAGTCTCCAACCCATGAAACCTAGAATCCCCTGTTCAGGTGCCAGTCAGCACAAGACCTATGCAGCACTAGGCAGGCTACTTTTCCACACCATTCATCACCGAAGTTAATTCAGTGCAGTTAAGCTAAATAAACCCCGGCAAGAAAGTCATTTGTCAGGACCTGATAAACCTCACGTGGATCAGCAGGTGAGCAGATCAAAACATTTTGATTTCACAAACACTATCAGCTGCCCACTCCGTCGTTACACATGTTTAGCTTAAACAAGCCTTTAATCACCATTTATGCAGTTAAAACTGAACCGCATGATCCTTTGCTAACATTTTGCAAAAGGTTTCAAAAGTGTATTCCCATGAGCTAAAGAAAACAAATGCATGTTAATTTTTTTAAGGGCATTTAATAAATCAAACGAATGAAATATGTTTCTCCTCTCTCTCCTCGCTAACCCTCCACTAGGATAATCCCCCTCTACATTGAGCGGGACAGCGAAGCTCAGCAGGAGCTTGAGAAAGAGCCGCTCTGTCTCTCCACCGCTAGCGACGCCTCTCCCCCTAACGAGGAGAGCTACTGCCTAATGAGGGAGCTCATTAACACATATGGCTGCCATGGTTTAATTAGGCTCCGTGCACACACACACGCACGCGCGCGCGCGCACACACACACACACATGTGCAGATACACACACGTGGAAAACTGCATTTTTAACAAAAAAAGTCAACGGGAGAAAAGTTGCAAGGTATGTGAGACGTGACAGGAACTTGGATTCGGGCTCATGTGCAAAATTTAAAACCCCTTTTTGGTCAGGTAAAAAACCTGAAACCAACCAAAATCTGTGATATTTAATGTAATACTGCATTCACGGGATCTGACTACAACCTGGCTAGTGGCCATATTTTGGTCAAGGTCTTACCCAGGTTGAACTGTTTACATGGACCTGTGTCTCCCTGTTACCATGATCAAACTGGCTGTTAGACTATCCCCTGCTGACCTGTGGCGAAACACAGCACTAGATGATGATGGGAGAAAAAAAAATAAAAAAGCAGCATCATAATCAAACTTAATATTGTTAGTCGCTCTACTTCTCACTAAAGTGCATTACTGTGAAATGAAACAGCAAATAAAAGCATCAGAAATTAACACATAATCAACTACAACTGTTTTCCCCCCCTTTAATGTGGACTAACAGAAACAATTTCTAAATTACTAAATCTAGGATATCATATTTATATTGTTTATTTTTATTATACAAGTGTCCTAGAGTTTGCCCAAAATGTGCCCAAATGTGTTCCCATTTATTAAAAATGAATTCCTGACAGCGAAACGGTTCATTTTTATTCACTCGTTTGCTTCTGCCGAGCCATCATTTGATTTATTTTGACATGTTGGCCAGTTAGAGCAGAAAGAAGCGTGCAAACATGTGTCAAGAGGGGTTGTGTAATACAGACTTTTCACAAATGTTACACAAAAAGGAAAAAATAATGGTGAGCATGTCTATTTTTAGCAATATTTTTGGTGTCATATTTCAATATGAAAGAGCCTTAACATGGCCAGTTTTGACCATTGTGTTTATCTAAACAGTCTCGCTACTGCTACTGCAGGAAATATACTATCATTTATATTATTAAATTGTTATAAATAACACCTGACTTAAAATTTAAATGCTGAAACAGTAAACCTGACTCTGAATCAGGTAACCTGGGTATCTTACAGCAAATGGAAATTCCCATTGCAGATTAATGTAGTCTGGGACTTAAATAAATAAACAGATGAAAGTCCAGAATTCACTGCACCCCCTCACAGCTACTGAAGCACATGAAGGCCAGAACCTGCAGTCACTCCCCGTGTATCTGTTCTCAGCAGTGTAATCCATCACTGAGGGGCCGCCCGGGGACGTGTCTCCATCCCCTTGTTCTCGCTCCATTGAGAGCCAGTGAAGGCGAGCTGATGTGGAGGACGGCTGAGCAGCGCTGCAGCCAACCCTCGGAGATCTACGCTCACCCCACCGCTGCTTTCTCTCTCGCTCACGGTTCAGTCATTCAGCTGCCAGGAATCCCAAACACACCTGGGCAGTCGGCCCCACCGACTGAGCCCGCCCACTCTGAGAGGTCTAGACAAGTGCTGTCAAGGATCTGCAGAGACGGCTGCATTCCTCGCTGCACCACAGGCACAGTCGCGCCATCGATCAACGGGCATCTGCATAAACACCCTTTGTCATTAAGGCACCGTTACCGTCATCGCACACAACGCTGAACCAGTAGAGCTGATGTGCAGTATCGAATCAGTATTAAACAACAGCCGAGTAGATAACGAGAGAATCACAAATATTCTTTTCTTGAACAAAAATTGGACGGCTTTATAATTAATTTGTGGTAATTTAATTAGAAGACAGCTGGATCCTTGAATTATTCTAACTCATGAAACTTTCACCTCCTTCATTACCGCCATAACAGCATAATCAGCCTCTTTAAAAAATAGTTTATGGAGTTTGATAAAGACAGTGATTCTCTCCATTAAGACTTAATTAAATTAGTTATTTTCCTGCTGCAAACACTGGCTGTTTGGTCTTCTTTTCCTAAAAAAAAAAAAATTCATATCAAAATGAAATGCATATTAAGGAATGCATTTAAAGTGCAGAGCACAACCTCACTACTCGTACAGACAACAGAGATCAACATCAGCAGTTCCAACAGACACAATCTACAATTAATAGCATAAAAAGCCAGAGGAGTCAACTTTCCAGTGAAAGTCAAGATTATATTTTCATTTGAAAGACATTGCAGGGAATTCTTTATTTGATCAGGAACAGTGTGGTTCTTCTACTGTTATCCTGTTTTTGTGGATATAAAAGCGATGGATCTCAACAGCACACTTTAAGACAGACGATAAGGAATCAGAAAATCCAAACATCTAAACGGCATCAACATCTTTCTGCCTTCAGTCGTCCGATACATTCACAGGATAGCTTTATTAGGTGCACCAATCGCTGCTAGTATCGGGTTGGTTCCCGTTTTGCCTTCAGAACGGTCTTAATTCTTCATGGCAGAGATTCAACAAGACGCTGGAAACATTCCAGACGTGTTGACATGACAGCATCACACAGGTGCTGCAGATTAGGCAGCTGCATGTCCGAAATGCAAATATCCCATTCATATTCAAGAAGCCAGTCTGAGATGATTTGAGCTTTGGGTTATCCTCCTGGATCCTGGGAACGGGAAGGTCATCAGCAATACTGCTGTGTAGGCTGTGGCTTTTAAACAACGCTCAACTGGTGCTAAGTCTGCCAAGAAAACACCCCAAATACCATTACACCACCACCAGCCTGAAACATTTATTTAAGGCAGGTGGGATCCTACCATCCGAAAGCTGTAGCAGGAATTGTTTGGCACTGAAATGGCAGCAGATCAGCTGTTTCTGAAATACTCGGAGTGGCCTCTGCATCATCAAGAATCACTTCTCTTAACAATTCTGATGCTGGATTTGAACTTCTGCAGGGCGTCTTGTGTTAAACAGCAGCTGAACAGGTGGAAACACACAATGGCTAAACTAAGTTGAGAAGTGTTTCTTACTTTTCCAGTGCAGACATGATCAGGGGAGGAAGCACCAGGATTGGCATGGGCATGACTACTCTGGTCAGGGCTGTCTCCAAGAGAGCCTGCATAAGAAAACATAAACCAGGAATATTAAAAAATACAAATAAATTTGCTTTGAATCTGGGAAACATCATCATTTAAGTGTTTAAATGCACAAATACTGACGTGTGAAAGCAAAACACTTAAACTTTAAATTGTTTGCCATTTAAAAGCATTATAGTGCATATGTTGCTAAACAGCAATACCAATAACATGATCCATTTAATTTTCAGAGCTGAGGACATACATGCTTGGCAGCTACTCTTGATGTTCCCACCACGTTGCCGTTGTTGTCGAGCACGCTGATGCCCTCTGACAGCTCAGAGTGTCTCATGAGCACCACGTTGCAGACATTTGCACTCGCTGTGAAGACAGAAGAACGTTTTTTAAGATCAAAGGGAAACGTGCCACTAGGGATGTAACATACAGTCATATTTGGAATGAGGAAATCGTGATGTTATGGACAGAGATAGAAAAGGTTTTTTTTAAAAAGCACTGTTTTGACAGCCTTAAAAGTAATCAGTCTACTAACTGATAAACAGGTTTTCTATGAAGACGCCCACTGGAAAAGGGAGGTTTGATTTCCTTTTATAAGTCCTATAAGGATGAAGGACTAAACTTTGTTTGTTCTGAACTGCATGGATGGATTCAGAAGTTGCACATATTCTTTTTCAAGATGTAAACTCCACATCAGTGTCCTGTGATTATTAAATATTTGCTCAAAAATAATGAAGCTTCTTGGCTCTAAGGATGGTAATATCAGTCAATGGGTCATATGGCTGGGTCCACCACTTTGATGAAATTCAGAGTGACTAACCTCTGGCGCTGACTTTTCCTCTTGGATTTCTACGAGCGTGACCTTTTGTTTTCTTGTGAAATATATTTAAAAATCTGGACTGACATTAAATTTACTACAGACCCTGATGCGCTACAATAACTTTGATGAGCCTTTAACTTTTTATCATGAAGTGAAAAATCATCATTTGTCCAAAATGTTGTAATGTAAGAATCAGCATAAAACTAACTATAGAACTGGCAGCAAGGCAGTAAAACTGCAAGGACACTCAGCTGCCAACAAGAAATAATAACACTTTAACACACAGATTGATTAAAAAAAAAGAAACTTGTAATACCGGTACATAATGTTTCTTTCAAATTATATCATATAAGGCTCGAGTCATCACTTATTTGTTTCTTTTTTGCTAGAAAAATAGGAAATAACTGAAGTGTGTACATGCAAACATGTGCAAATATACACAGAAATACAGTATATTAGGCAAAAACAGAGTTTGTACAATTCTAATGACATTTAAAAGTCAGTATTTGGTGTGACCTCCTTTATTCTCCAACACAGGCTGAACTCTCTTAGGCACTCTCCCCACTGACTGTAGCCCCAAAGCTTGGCAGAGCCTCCGCCGTGCTTCACAGATGGCTACAGACACTCACTGTTGTACTTTTCTCTCAATCTCCTCCGTCCACACTCACAATGACTTGAATCAGACTTAAAAATTGCTTTCATCACTCCATAAAGCCTGTTGCCACCAACTTTCAGTCCAGTTCTTGTTCAGTTTGTCATACTTCAGCCTGTTCTCCTTGTTTACGTTCCATAAGAACAATGACAGCCACCCTTCTTTCACTGACACATGGATCAGCTGATGCGTTGGCTGTATCACTCAGGTCCCGTGTGAACCCTTTGCTGGATTTTTTCCTATTTCTTAAGGATATAATTTTCAGATACTGTTAATCAGCTGTAGACATTTTTTAGGCCTGTCACAGTTTCCTCAAATTTTTTGAAGTCACACTGCACGCCATGCTGCAATAGGCCAAGCTGTTGACTCTCTGGTAATCACCTATTACTCAAGACTGCTTTTAAAAGATATAAAGAAATGAAGCGTGGCTCAAGACTTGCACAAAACTATTCTTTCAAATGAAATAACCTATTAACTACGTTAACTCAAGGATTGGCACTAGACCTATAACACAGATAAATAATTTCTGTTTGCATATTTACATTAAATATCTACAACTGCATGTTATTTGCACATTTTTGGTTACACAATAATGTTAGATGAGCAGCCTATCATTGATCTACAGTCCATTTTAACACATCAGGATCTGCAATTAGGTCAGAAAACACCACAGCTTAAGAAATCGCTTTTGCCCTTGTTCCCTCCTGTAAGGAAAATCATCTCTTCTAAAAGAAGCTAACAGGCTGAACTGACATTGTTATGAAAACTCCAAACTGCCAATTACCACCGCTGAGTGTCCCTGTGGAAGACACTGAACTCCTGTTTACTCTTCTCACTCCTCAAATGAAGAACATTATTGCCATGTCATCGTGTCAGCGTTCAGAAAACTGAAGCCGTGCCTCTGCGAGACTGACACACACAACAGTCAGAGCACAGAGAGGCTGGCAGGTTGACAAACAGCGGCGTTGCTTCCCTCTGATTATTCACGAAAACTAAAATGAACACAAATGTATGTTAATATAGATTAACCTTTCTTCTTGACTCTAATAGGAATAAGACAAACTCATTTTAGAGAGTTTAGTGGTGCTGCCCCGAGCCTTTTTAATTTAAGACAACAGCGTTCAGAGTTATCTCTACTAAAGGCCGCAGGGCTGCCAGGTCGCTTTGTGAGGGGAATTCAATTGACTGAGCAAATAACTCTTTTTACCTATAAGGGATTTTTTTACCCAGACCAGTTAATAATAAAAAGGGACAGACAGGGTTTTGGCGAGGAACAAACAGGAACAAACACTACAGTTAAATAGAAACTCTTAAACACATAAATAAAAGCATCAAAGTAATTACTAAATTAAATTGATAAAATGCAAAATCTGCACAGCTTAATGTTGAAATATCTGCCTGTCATTTGTAATTATTTAAAATAATTACATTTGTGTACATTTTAATCATCATCTCATAACTGGTGGTACACTCACAGAAATACATCCAAGACTTTTTTTTGTACATAATTACTTTCTAAATATCACAAATAATGACAAATAAGACAACAAATAATTAACCCCCTAAATTTCTGCCAGCGTGGCTTTCCCTCCAGTTAAAGTCTTCATAATCTAATTGAATGACAGGCCGCCACTTGATTAGGTTATTACAAATAAATCTAGCCTTAAGTAAGCAAACAAAATCAAATGGGCGAAAATTCAAACGGCCCTTTGCTTTCGTTCGCTTCAATTAGCCATTTTAATTACCTCTTATATTGGCCTAGCAAAACAACAACAGGAACAACAATGAACAAACAGAAATCAGGTAAATGAGGCCTTGACATAGACGCCACTTTAAGGGTAATTATCCAATTTGTTTGCGGCAGCAGAGTTCTAACAAGCAGCCAATTACCAGGCAAAGGCTGCGCTGTAGAAACCTGTTGATTTAATTAGAAGAACCGCCATGGTAAGGAAAGGGGGGGGGCAAGCAAACAATTTAATTATGAGCCAGCAGCCCGGGGCATTCTGGGACACGGGTCTATACCCCTGGGTGTGATTGTGTTTGCGGGAGAGTGGCATGAAAATCAGCTTTGTGGCTGCACACACAAAGCCGGCTGTCAACGCGACGGTAAGCCTGCAGAGAGGAGAGCGGGCGGAGGGGAGCGGCGTGAGACAAAAATCGCTCTATTTAGCTTTCATACAGGGAATTATTGTGATCAGAAAACAGCTTAAATAAAAAGGTATAATATATCAAGAGCAAGGAAAAGAAAACAATCAGCTTGTGTGTGCGTTTTTTTAAATATACCTTTTAATAGCAATTATTGCAGAGCTGTTAGCCAAAGGCGTTTCATTTGTTTCTATAAAACCCCCAATTGTTTTATTACTATTACTAAAAAATATCTAAGCTATGACATTTACTTTAAATGTCCATCCTAGGCTTAACCCTTCTCTGTCCCACGAGAAGCTCACCTGACTTTTTACATTTTTATTTAACTTACCCACTGCTGGGAAGGGGATGAACCTCTGCACCAAAAGCCTGGTGGTTGGGCTGAAGCGGCTCGCTCTCTGGATTAAAACGTTTAACCCAACCTGAAGATAAACCAGACACAGATGATATGATCAGACACTGTGTGTGTGAAAAGCCAGCACAGAAAATTTGGAATTCAGAGCTCTTTCTTTCAAAGGGGATGAGCAGAGCACGAGAACAGCCACCACCAGGCTTAAACATACAAGCATCAGAAAAAGGATCACTGGGAGAAAGTGGACTAAAATTATAGGCAATGTGTTTAAACATTTGATGAACGTAACTTTGCAGTGTTTTAACATTTCAGATTGGTGCATTCAAAAGGCTATATTCGCTCAAATAACACACCACCACGCCACTTCATCCTCCAGCTCCCTCTAGCCCTGCGGGGGGTCGTCACCAGAGCGGACGTTTAATTGGAGCGTGCCTGCCCCCCTCCAGGGATGTCGTACCAAACTCCAGACACCCCGCAATTTCTTTCTGTGCTTGCTGCCATTGTCAAGCCTGAGGGCATCAGCCGGATGAACACCCAGCAGGACCAGTAATTGGCTTGGTTGGAGCTCCTTGTCCACACTAAGGGTTGTGTCAGGCAGGTGTGTGAACGGGTATTACGCCCCTATGACATTTTATTCTGTGGTGACATAGAGGTAAGAAGAGAGGTTTAAGTGATTGGGATATTATGAAGTCTGCTTTTTTTATAGCTATGTTGATATCCACCTTATTTGAAATTTTGCCATTTTTGGATATTTGGTGTTTAACTCAAGAAGTAATGCGGTGAAAGACCACATGCTGAAACTGCACAGAAGCCCAGATTACCAATATTTTCTTCTGGTTATCAAGGTGGTTACAGGAACCCTTCGTTTAGTGTATGTAACAACAACAAAAAAAGGCTGATTGGACATTTTTTTCCCATCTGTAGGTAATGAAGGGATTACAAAGACCTGCTTCTATACATTGTTCCTAGTTTCAGTGAATTATCAGTTAACCTGATGGATCCTTAGATGTCGAATGAGACTAATACTACTATTTGGTGATTTTCAAAGTCCTTTATAATGGCCGATATGATCAGAGATTTTTTTCAGACACAGCACATACACAGATCCCGCAAATAGTTGTTAATGAGTCTTTAGTCCACAACAAATCATGGATTTCTCATTTACATTACTCGGATCAGCTGGTTGTTGGGTTTGTGGTGTTCCAAACATTTGTTGCCAGCAAGGAAGTTGCACTGTTTTGGTAGAAAAACTATGCAACATCAACACTCATGCCAAGGTTGAAGGCTTTACTTTTTTGGTTTTTCCTTTATCAGTCAACACAAGTCAACACAAGATTTGCTAGGACTTACAGCAATGGATACTGCACTGGTAACTGCCCCAAGGTATCCCAGCAGGAACTTGGAAGCTGGAGCTGGCTAAAGTGGCAGAAAACAAGAGGAGACAACATTATAAAAGCACTTTAGCTGAGCAACAAAAAAAGGCATTTGTAATGTGTGTAGTAATGGGCCAGCTGGGATGCCATGCAGGTACAGTACCTTGGAGGCATTGCGGTTGCTGTAGTTAACACAGGCATTGTGACTTTGGTTCAACCACTGCCATACAAAGGAGAGGAAAGTGAAAAGTATAGCAAGATGTAATAAACTGCGATAATAATAAGTTTCATTCAAGGTGATTCTCCTGTGCATTTAAAATCAGCTAAAAGAAGCATCTTAACCTACAGGCTCAGCCACTGGCTCTATCAAGCATACGAGCAGAATCAGTGACAGAAGAGACTCCGTTATTTAAACAGTGGCAGCCTCTGTCTCACACCACCCGGATTTCTTATAATTAATTCTTAATTTATTCTATTCATTATTGTTTCTGCTTTTTTAAAGCATTTTCCATTAATCCCGCAGCTTTACAACTGATCATTCTTAGTTTTATCAAAACAAAATCACATCATAGTCAACACTTGCTCATTCGTTGTTTTTCTTGAGGCACTACCTACAGCATATGTGCCATGTTTACAAAGTGAAGTAATTTAGAAAACCAAACTTGTACTACGCCAGAGATGAATTTCGAAGAAATACCTGCCAGAAGACGGTAGATGCAAGTGTTTGATTAGGGAGAAGGAGGCCAACAACCTGCAACGAAAGAAAGAAAGAAAGAAAGAAAGAAAGAAAGAAAGAAAGAAAGAAAGAAAGAAAGAAAGAAAGGAAAATTTCATAAAGGAAAATCAATAAATTATTATTATTTGTAGCATTGGTATTGTATGAGTGTGTGCTTTGGAAAAACAGAGTTTATGAAAACCACTCTTACCACTGGTGTGCCAAACGGGATGAAACCTGGTAAAAGATGATCAGTATTACCACTCTTACAATTTCGCCTCTACCCTTTTTCTCAGATTTACTATAAATCTATTCTTTTGTGCAGAAATGTCCAAGCCCTTCAAAAAACACTGTTCTCTTCTTTCTAACTTTGGATCACGAGGCCAGTTCCTATTGGTCTGACATTCATGTGGTATGTTGGTAATTACATGTTAATTGCTTCTGTCCTTTCCTTCTTTTCTTTGTGCTCACTTCCACTACGGTCATCCTACGAAAAAGGGTGCTTTCAAACTGAACCAAAGTGCTAGCATTTGCTTCTTCACAAACCCCAAGTAGATCTCTGTCAGCACAGCAGAGAGGTTTTAATCAGCGCCCAGCTGAGCGTGACCTTTTCCAGGCCTGAGACAACCTGAAGAGCCCTGTTGAGCCATGACAGTCTCTAAGGTGAAGACGCCTCCGTATTGGACCACTTAAAAGCCCAGAGATTCCCCTCCACTCCAAAGTTTCCACTCTTAGATACGCTACCTGACATCCGAAAAGGCATGAGGATCTTCTCCCCTGTGTCGGGGTGGATGATGGCCTGTAATAAGTGCATAATGATAACAATCAGACAGTAATGAGCACCGAATGATTTGGGTTAAGTCAGTTCATATGACTTATAAAGAGAGCACTGCTGTGAAAATAACTAAAAGAAAGTTACTGCTCAGGGTATTTAATATTAACTTGAATATATAAAAACCACTGAGAAAATGGTTTCAAATCAATAGATTAACCAGTTATTGCTAATCTACTTATTTATTTACATCACTCATTTAATCATATTTCAGGGACAATGCATTGCACTTGGGGAGCTTTTGAAAAATAACCTTACTCCTTTGACAAATATAACAGTTTGACATGTTTGCAGTAATTCAACAAAATTCAACAAAAGTTGTTATCTTCACAAGTAAAAGAAAAATAGTGACTGCGTTGTGAGATACAGTATGATAACGCTTTAAAGCAAGCCAAAAGTATTCACCACAGAAAAAGCTCCCTTTAAGAAGCTAAACATGCTAATGCTAATGTAAAATACTTGGAATAACAATATGCTGATGCATAAAAGTACGAAACACCAGTGTCATTACCAATTGTGGGGTGCCGTAGAAACCGGACCCTAACATTTAACACAATATGTACAACAAATCTAATTTCTGTTATGGTTTGGGTAGCGAGAGCTATCGTTTTTAGCATGTTAGCATGCTATCATCTTCTAATTTATATTAAAACACAAAGTAAAGTTGAACCAGGCAGTTTTCATGGACAGTTAAGGGATGTCTAGTGAATGAAATTTATCCTGCCGACTGCCTGCACACACTGTCAGCTGAATGTATGAACTGGTTGCAACCACATCCAATGGCTTAATTAACTCCCCCGAAACAGGGAGCAAATTTTAACAGCAGTCTTTTCAGCTAGACTAAGGTACGAGGCATTTTCAAGGTTTACCTTCTCATCTACCACACAAGAAAGCATTTGATCAGTTTCAGATTCATTCTACAACATTACAACAACTTAACCAGACCGTCAAAGTGATAAAGAACCACAGGAAGGACCGGCAACATTAGGTAAGGCCACCATAGAGCCATGATTCCAGTGTCACTGAGTGAATCTTGGATGACATAAAGAGACAGAAGCAGCCAAAATGAATTATGGCAGGTATTTCTAGACAAATAGGAGACTAACTTTAGAAAGCCCATTTACTTTTAAATGATTTTAGAAGGATTGTGGGGTGTTTTTTGTCAATTCTACACAAATATTCAAGCAATTACACCAGACATTATCCCGTCAGTTTGCTATTCCCACTGTTACAAAGTAGATAAGACAGATGATGTGTCTTTCCCCCACTGCCTTAACACTGATCAAATCTGCAGATTGGAAAAGAACGAAAGCGATTACACTGCTTCCTCAGGCTCATGGAGCCAAGCTTCGACTTGTAAAAGACCACATACGTACATGTGATAGATATACCACTATCATGGCTGAATATAGATTTTCCTCTTAGTCTTGAATGAACTTGGGATGCAGTAAGAAAAATCTGGAGACTAGTTCAAACTATAATGATCTAACAAACTACACAAAGAGTTCTAGGTCTTTAACACTCAGAAAGAGTATAAACCTTAGAAGCACATAAATAAGGCAAGCACCATGCTGAAGGATAGGTCGGTTTTGGGGAGTTTTGGCAGTTGACAACCCTGAAACCCTGCAAGAGCACCAACTGTTTCATGTTCTCATACAAAAACAAACCTGGACGTAAGCCAGCCTTCAGTGTTCATATGGAGCCCAGTTTGAGCCGGATTTGGTTTCATTCCTGCAGAGTGTGAAATTGTTTATGTAGACTGAACTGCATATCCTACACATGAAATGGAAGCAATAGCAACCATAATGATAAAAGAAGAGTTATTTACTTAAGATTTGTCTTAACAGCCCTTTATACACACATTAAACCTGACCCAAAGACAAGTTTATGTCGACAAGATACATACTTTAAAGTAAAGTCCACTGCATCCCATCCGTGGTTTTGAAAATTAGTTCTAAAGATGAGAGGATACTTTTGGTTCATCTGTATTTAGAGTGTTTGATTAGATCCTTAAATACACATTTTAGTGTCGAGTTCAATATGAGCAAAAACTGAGATGTGACGGCTTTTAATTTTTAATTTTCCAATGAAAATGCACATTTTAAATGAATAAGGTGGACGTGGGAAGTCATAAGATTTAAACAGCATCTACATGAAAGAAATGCCAAACAAAGTACAAAACTAATTTCACAGTGCTGACATTGCACTTAAAAATACATTCATTAAATAATTCATCAATTCATTACATTAATTAAGTTTTATTTAGGTGAGGCATAAATATCAAACATATAAATCTCTGGCAGTGTTGGACGTTGGCAGTTTGTAAATAGATATTAAAACTTTAAATAATTTTCTCCCACTTTAACCGGCTGCACCTGTAGTTCAACGGCTGTCAGCCGTCTTGCAGAGCTGGCACTTCCAGCTAATTAACACTGGAGGTAAAACCGCTCGCCTGCTTCAGTGTCTAATTTTAATGTAGTTACTTCAACATGGAAGCCTTTTTTAATGTTGTTTTTGTACACTCTTTGGTATATTTGCGGTATAAGCACGTAACACCAGTCAAACCTTACCCGCTTCGAATGACGTTACTCTTTTTTGGAGTGTTTCACTTAGATTGGACCCAATAATGACATTATATAGACAAAGTAAGCAAAAACAGAGAAATCTTACCTGCTTTATTTTCTGGGCTTGCCAAAGCTGTAAAATAAAATAAATAAGAAAAAGTAGAAAGTCTTTCAATGCTTCTGTGTTTAAGGGGGATAGTTTGTCTGTCTACAATATAGTTTGCAAATTTAATATGTAAAAGAAAATTACATTAAAAATTACATTAAAAAATGATGAAATTTCAATTATTATATTTTGCAATTATTAACAGGACTGTACGGTTAATAATATTGTTGAAATTAAATTAATTAAAAAGACTAAATTTGGTTTATTTTTACAATTAAAATTGTTTGTAGTACATCAGCTATTGCAAAAGCAGTAGACTTGAAAAGAACAGATATTTCAAATTTAAATATTTCATCTGAACGTTTAAACAATTAAAAATATTGACTGTAAATACCTCCTTAGATAAAATAGAAGGTTAAGTATATTCACAGAGTCTGCTTCACAGAGAAATTACTGTACAACTAATAACGAATAAGTTGCTTCAACGGTGTAAATAAAAACTAATTATTAAAATGTTGCAACAATATAAACTTCGTTCATACCATAAATATTTCCCTGGCACAAACATTAAAGCAGCTGTTTTTGATTTAGCATTCAAAGGCCGGTTAGTGCCTGCAGTGCACAGATAATCCACTCAAGGGCAGGAGACACATGTCAGACTGCACAGAAGAGGCTTTTCAGAAAGGTTTGCAGCGTTTCAGATGCTGAATTCTCACAAACTGATGTTGATGTGAGTTTTCAACTCAAGCTGACGCATATTTACCTGAGCATCCGTCACTCCCAGAGGCAGAGTTCCTTGCTTGAAATGGTCAAGCAGCTCGACGCACTCCCGCAGCCGTTTCTGATGTGACGGAACATGAGAGTCAATAAAATGTGAAACCAAGTCTGGCCACTCTCGCCTCTATGTCAGCTTAGATGTGTATTTGCCCTCCTGCTATAGGCCTCAATGTGTGATAATTATGTTTTACTAAAACCTCCGTGATGATTTTCATGTGACAAATGAGTTCCCTAAAAGGTAATGAGGAGCTTACTGTGGTGTGATCATTGTCTAATATGGAGGAAAATACAAGGTCATGAGGCCCAATTTGTTCTAATGAGCTCGCCATCTGTGTGTGTATGTGTGTTCACGTTTCTGTAATTGTGCGTGTCAGTGTTAGCCGTGCACTTTTTTTTTTTTTACTGTATGCACAGGAGGTCATGTGTGCGTGCGACCGAAGGCAAATCAGGGCTGTCCCTGTTCCACTGTCTGCATTAGGGGCAAGTTGAGGCGATGCCTGGCCCAGCAAGGTGTCATGTGTATCAGTGTGGGTGTGGGTGAGTGTCTAAGCATATGCACTTTCCACCCCTCCCAGCAGCCCCATATGTCCACACCTCATCACATCCCGGGAGGTACTGCAGCTATTAGTGTCACCAAAGAACCCACTAACAGCTTCATTACCCAGAGCACTAGAGCTGTGATGGCTCCATGAGCAAAATTACCACAACACAACCAAGAACTGTGGAAATGTTGCAATGAGCAGAGCAGCCTAACATTTACAGAGAATATCCTGTAACCTAAAGGTGGCACATTTGCTGGCAGTAGCTGAGAATCCTTCATTTTAAGTATACCTTTGAGGTTTTCTTCCTTTGCTTCAACACCTCCTTCAGTAAATTTTGGCTAATGTTGAATCCCACAAGATTGTGCTGCCATTTTATCCCAGCTAGGAAACCACTGCGGTTATATAAAACCTGACTTCTCTAAAGATCACCATCACAGATCATCTGATGGAGTTTAATGTCATTTGTATGCAGATATTGTGATACTGTGGCTAACTTGGTAAATAAGCAACCCACGCATGTGATCCATGTAACAAATCCAAAGGTTTGTTTACCTCTGTCACAAAGAGCGTGCTGGGGTCAATCACGTCCAAGAAGTGCCTGAACCGGCCAAAAAACGTGTTCTGAGAGACAAACGAAATGCACATTCATTCATTCATATACAAAGCAATTGTTAGCAATATTGTTTCTTTTATTTAAAGACCAAACATTAAACTGCAGATGCAACTTTAAATATATAATCAGTGGAAAAATCCTGATCTGGAATGTATAAGTTCAGAAAGTCCAACTTTCCACCCAGTCTGCATATAAATTGTTGATCAATTATATGCAGCCAAATCATGATTATGAATCGAGAGCCATGGAGATTCCAGCTGTCGCCCAGTAAACAGCAATATTACCGCTCGCCAGCTGTTTAAACACGCCAGGTGGAGCCTCCTCATTAATGCCAGAGACAAACTGTTTCCTATCTGCATCTTTTGCACACCCGAAACTACTCACACCGTTTTGCAATTAATTCTAATAACGACTGTGCCAGAAATACCTTTCGAGAATTTATTCATAACCGAGCATAAGGAATAATTTAGGGGAATCAGCAACGCGCCACGCAGCCTCGAAAGCCTCCTATCCCTCCCTAACTGGAGTTTAATTACACTAACTGCTAATTTGGATGAAAATCTGGTATCTGACTCACTGCTGTGCCTCGTGACTTCCTGAACATATGGATGGTTTGTACAAACATGGCACAGGGGAAAAGTTGTTAAATCTGGTACATTCAATTACTCACCAGTGCCACTCCAGTTTGACCAGTTTGAGTCGATACTCGAGTGGAACAGACTTGTCTCAGCTTTACTGGAAGGGTAACAGGGGCTTAATCTTATCATTATGTTGTATCAGATCCTAATTTATGAAGACGCAGCCTTTTGAGTTGGTTTCCACATTTCAGCTTCATCTGAAATTCCACTTTCAATGGAGTAAACTTAACAGTTTTTATAAAAGAAAATTCAAAAAAATATCTCCATATAATAATTTCACAGGATCAAAATAGGGAATGCTGGAAATTTTTCCACAGTTCATGCCATACCGTTATACCGGAGTACAGATGGAGACCTCCCCAACTTAGACCAATAGAGTTGGAGCTAAATGCAAATCACCTCAGTGATGGTTAAAAAACTATGAAAGCACAGAAATTAGAGCTACCAAAACAAATAACCATCCTCTGGAACAAGAGATTAAGCTTTGGTCTTTCAGGACATTGTCGTAAACCCTACAGAAAATTCCCAGCAAACCAGTACTTTCTAAAATACTCAGACCAGCTCACCTGGCACTCAAATCACCGTTCGTCCTCATTCAGAAAATTAGTTTATGAGCAGAGAACATGCCTACATGGCAAAATGCATGTGGTGTGTGCTAATCACATATTTGTGTTGACCAGCAGTTGGACAGGTGTACCTAATAAAGAGGTTGGTGAGTGTATACATCTTATGTCTTATGTTCTTCTTTTTCATTTTTACTGACTCAATATATTTGTGTACAAAAATACCATAAATTGCTGTAAATGTATATTTATAGCAGACTAAAAAGTGTATTAGGTACACACAAAAAATTATTAGGTACACACAAAAAATCTTCAGTCAGTAAAGGTAAACTTTACTGATTCACCTGGGCGATGGTTTTTGTTACATGTGGCTTGTGGTGCTGAACCGCTATACCCCATATAGAGAGCCGTTTATGACATTTGTCTCATTTATCTAAATGAGGCATATAAGAAGTCAGACACCAAAAGAAGGTCGTACAGTTCAAACTGATAAAGTAATAAACATTTCTCTGAAAGAGCCTCGAAGGTGCAGGCTTGTGTGTATTCGCTTTTGAGGGCACTAGGGTTGAAATATAAAAGGCTAACATAAGATGGAATAAAAGCATATCTCATGGGATACCTGTATGATAACAGCTGACCTGCATATTTTCTGTTAGCACATACAGTGAGGGTCAAAAAGCATTTGAACAACAACAGAGTATTTTGCTGTTTTAGCTCTGTGTGCCTCCACAGTGGATTTAAAATCAAGCAATCAAGGAACTATTTAACAATTACAGATATTTTTCAGGAGCTAAAAGCTTGTTGGATCAACATAATTTGAAATAAAATGACTGTTTTTAATACTTGGATGAAAATCCTTTGCAGTCAGTGACTTTCTGAAGTCTAGAATCATTGAAAAATATTCAGTGTCTCTGACTCGCTGCTTTCGATGATTTTCTGCACTGTAAATCGCTTTCTGATCATTTTTGCACCATTTGTGCCGAATCGGAGCACAGAGTATATCCCTGTATACTTCACATTTCATCCTGCTACTTTTATCAGCAGTCATGTCATCAGTAAACACTAGTGACCCGGTTCCTCTGGCAAGCATACATGACCGTGCCATAACATTGCCTCCACCCTGATTGACAGATAATGAGGCATGTTTATCTCCTTCTCCATACTTTTCCCTCCCTGCACACTGTAGTACAAATTCGTCTTGGTTTCACCTGTACAATGATTGACACCAACCACTGAACAGTTATTTTTAAACCCCTTGAATAGAAGCTGGAAGCCTTGACCTTAATCACATCTTGATTTTAAGTCAAGAGGTGGTGTGCAGAGGCTAAACTACAAAAAACTGCGTCGCTGTCCAAACATTTATGGACCAGCTGTATATTACAGATTGTTACAAGTTTACCTTTGCTCTTGTGATGCGTTCAATGCCCAACTTCACCTAAAGCCTTTGGGATACAGCTTTAAAAGTCACAAGGCTTCACCTAAAGTTATGGTATGACTTTCATTTCAAAAGCGCAATAAGATATGATATGGTCCTGATATAGGTTTAAGAATCCGCCTGCGGGACAGCGCATCTAACCACACACACGCATAAACACGCTGACACGGTGAGTGGGTGTGGTCTGTTTGCCACGCAAATTATGTCCAAAAAGTATATTTTGTTACAAGTGTATCTGTTTATGATCAGATAAAAACTGCAAGTACCTGGTCGAAACGAGACTTGCCATACTGGAAGGGCGGATATTCAGACATGCCGCTTCAAATCACCGCCAGCCCTCTTCTTCTCTGAGATTATTAAATGTTTATTTCTTTCTCACCCTCCAACTAACTTTTACAGCTGTGGGACTGCCGTCAAACAGTCAGCTGGCCAGGGTGCACTGTTGGAAATGTAGTTTTTCCGGTCTGCTTCGCTCTGACAGGACGTGGCTTTAACCCCTTTACAGGATAACTACATTTCCCAGAAGAGCTTGCATTGTTTTCGCCTCTTTTAAAACGGGAGGTTAATGTTGAAAGACCTGCACTGGGTTTGGAGTACAACGGTTAAAAAGAGAAATGCTCTTGGTGAGTGCGAGGTTGCTTGAGCTTATAGAGGATAATACCCCCTAGTGGTGGTTCTGAGGAGCAAACAGTAGCAGCTTGCATTATACAAATGTGCAACAGGGTAACCCAGCAGGAGTTGGGTTTGGTTTGTAAATTTGAGTTCAAAGTATATGATGTCATGACACACGTGGTTTTTAGAAATTATGCATGCTTAAAATCGCTGGTGACTATGCAGTATTCAGAAGAATATCAGTCCTGGAGGTGTGTGAGAGCATGTACAAAGGATAATAAAACTGCAGGAAAAGATTCAAAAAGGATATAAAAAAATGTTATTGTTAATAGTGAAGAAGACTAATGACTTCAGTGTTCTTGTGTAAAGGCTACGAGAGGTATTGTGAAATCTCCAATAAGATTTCAGCTCCATCTTTTCAATGTTTTAAGAAGGTGGAACTAATAAAAGGCATGACAAATGGGTGAAATCATGTGTATAATATGAGCCCAGTCACTGTCGGTGAAAGGTTCCCAAAAGACAGCGTTCAACATGACATAGCAAGATCACTTGTTTTAATATATCACATTTTATTCAGTTACTACTTTGAAGAATATCCTCAGTCTAAAAGAGTCAAACTAGTTAAAGAACTACCTGAATGTCAGGAACATCTATAACACTGCG